TTGCTCTTTTTCAGTGAATGCAGGTTAAGAAGTAAGCATAGGTTTTCTTGCTCAGGCGTTGGGGGAGAAATCTTTTATTCTTTCTGGGACGGGATGGGAAGGTTTGGTTGTATTTGTAGGTGCTGTTATTTCTTCTTTAATCGCCTGAAATGTATCAGTTTGTGGAATCCAGAGGCAAGTGACTTAGGGTAAATGTGAATGCAAGAGGTGGTGGCGGTGGGAGCCTACAGTGTATTTATACAACTAGTTGATGGTGAATTTTCCTGTTGGGGTAAGAGGCTGTTGTTTGCTTTTCAGCTAATATTACCCTTTCCTTGGGCGGGCCCCCAGCCTCCAGCCGACCTTAAAAGAAAAAAAAAATGTAATGTCAATTTGAAACGAGCTTGTGGTTCTATTGTTTTTTGTTTTTGTTTTTGTTTTTTTAGTTTAAATATTCTGGGTTGCTGGAAGCTAGCAGGTATGGAAGGAAAGATACTGTGTGTTTTCTAAGACTTTAATGTGTTAATGACAAGAGTTCAAAGTCTTTTCTCCAGATGCTGCTGCGTTTTCTTTTTAACTATTACTGTTATTTGACTTTTTTTTCCCCCCTTCAAATGACTGAACAGTTCTTAACCTAAATTGACCAAGATCTGTGGGGCATTCAGACAGGCACAAATCTTATCTCACCACCACTTTTGATGTAATATTCATAATTTTTTCTCTAATAACATACTAGTACTTAACACTAAACAAACAAAAAAAAACTGAGATCAGTGGTGTAGAAAAAAAGGAAGTCCCTTTAGATGTGGCTATTCAAATGACTAATTTTGCATTCTGATCTTTGCTTTTGTTAATGAATTTTTCTCCCTTTTAATGCATAGGCACTGCAATTTCCTTGAGTCAAATACAAGTTGTGTGTGTGTGTGTGTGTGTGCGTGTGTGCGCATGGACCGATGGCTTGCTGATCTGTGAAAAAGATGGTTTTTTGAAATTGTGCTTGAAATCCTTGGCTAAAGCTGGCAGTGCTATTCCTAAAGTTAGGTGATTATGGTGCCCACTTGTAATACTTGGAAAGATAAAACAGCTTTACTTTCCCTCCCCCTTTTCTGCTCCAGCATTGATTATCTTAAACTCAGCAGCAGATAGCCACCACAGAACTAACTAGTTTGCATTTTCTTAGCCTCTCAGCAGCCTTCCTGCCAGAAGTATTCAACCTCTCCAGGCTGTTACAAGCCAAATCATTGTTCTCTTGAATACAGCCTTCCTCTCTGATCAATACACCTTTGAATGTTTTCATCTCTACGAAAATCCTTCAAGTGGGTTTTGGGGGCTCTGTTATGCGTAATTGTTTCTCTCACCACCAGACATTTTGGTTGGACCCCAGATTAGCGTTTTTCTCCATCACTCCAAAAATGGGATCGGTTTCAAGAAGTTTAGGATTTCACATACTTCATGCTAGAGAGGGAAACAATTCTAGTTGATAGAAAGATTGAGGTGGCCGTTCGTTCTTTTGAAGTGGACCATCTACCCATCTCTGAGGGCTGCATGGGGCTTTGTGTTAAAATTTATTTCCAATCACCCCAAGCAGGAAACCCATCACCAGTTTTCATTTGGACAACCTGTGTACGTGGCAGGCGGGATGTTTTTCTGAGTTCAGAATGTTTGCCTCTTAAATTGAAGTAAAAAGTATTAGTGCCCAGATCACCTTCCACCATCTCCGTTGCATTCTTTCTTTTAGCGACGTGTTTAAATTTAAGAGGCTGTTTGCTTCTGATGAAAAAACCGTTTGTGACATGTCAGTTGTTTCTTTGGTGGTTTGTGTCACAGCCTTTCTCTACAGATGCAGTGTAAATGAAATTGTTAACTGGGTTCAGTATCGGAGGGCAAAAGGTGTTAATATTCTGGTTTAAAACTAAACTATTTTTCTTCTCCCTGCTGGGACTAGTTAAGTTTGAGGCCTCTTAACTTCTGATTTATTTCTGAGCTGTCATCTCTTCCTTTCTATCTAGTTCCCATTCTGAACCTTCCTCCCCCAACAAACGTGGAACTCCCCTAACATGTCTTCCTCCATCTGACCAGCTCTTTTTGGACTCATGTTTTGTCTTATCACAATCCCAGACCATGAACACAGAAAGGGACATTTTCTATTCCTTCTCGCACCCATCCTCCCTCCTTTCCTGGCTTCGAGTCTTCCCAATGGAAAATTCCAGCCATATCAAATGGGTGATGCGCCCATTTCTCGTTGAACCACAGGTCTGATGGAATCGCATTGAGAGTAACTGTTCGGATTCTTATCACTTGAAAGCCAGGGAAGTTCAGCATCTCAGATATTTTGCACCTATTAAAGCTTAACTTGATTGGCTTGGCTTGGGAGAGGGGTGTGTGTGTGTGCGCGTGTGTGTGTGTGTGTGTGTGTGTGTACACGTACTGTGTAAGAGGTGAAATGGCCTGCACTGTATCCAACGGGGAGTTCCAGCAGAGAAAAAGAAAGAAGATTCTGGTGGACCTTCCCAGCAAAGGGGCCTTGCTTTTCTCTGCTTCTCTCCCCAACCCCCAACTCTCAGCCTGTCTTTCAACTAATCCTTCCTCGCTCCACTTTTGTGGTGGGGGATAATTAGTCACAGCTCAAAAGAGTGCCGAATGCTTTCTCTAAGCCATGCTGCTAGCGAGAGGAAGCATCCAAGGGGTGGGAGTATGGAGATCCCAATTCTAATTCTGGGATAAATGCTGGTGCTCTGAATGCTTTGAGACCCGGGCCTTTTCGCTTCTCGCTTGGGCAAATTTTTCTACTTTGTAATTTCACCTATACATTTTTTCATATTCTGCCTCATCGGGAAATTGTAAGATTTAGCAGGGAGGTCCGAGAAATGCTCTTTGCCTTGTAGAATTCTGAGATCAGAACTCTGGGTACCCTGAGACCCACCTCTTACCTGAACTCAGTGTGAACGATGAGAAACTTGTTTACTTGAAGCCTGGGTTCTCATTGGCCCATGGAGGCAGATTGTAATTGTGTGTCTAAAAAAAAAAAAAAATACTGCTTTTTCGCATTCCCCTAATAGCAGGACCAACTGGAGTAGTAATTTGACTTAAAAAAAGAAGAACCTAGTATTTAAAAAAAACTCTTTTAGAAGATTTAACACTTTGTTTGCCATCAAGTGTGGGTTTCTCCCTCCCCCCCACCCCATTCCTACATGAAGATGGGGGATTGTCTTAAAGGTGGGTTTCTTCTTAGGACCCCGAAATAGCTGCCCCCATGGGGCGAGTTCTCAGTCTACCTAAACGTGAACATAATTTGCTCTGTTTCAGCTTGGCTGAAGAGGAAATAAAAACAGAACAGGAGGTGGGAGAGGGCATGGATATCTCTACTCGCTCCAAAGGTGAGTAAAAAATCTTGTATTATTTCTTCCAGGGCAGAGAAGGAAATTGGAATCTTTCTGGTGGTTTTTGCAGTGAAGTGTGGCTCTGTGAGCCGAGGCTGCAACAGTCCTCTCATTTTGAGATGAGGGACCTTGGATGGATGGGTGAACCTAATTAATGGAGAAATCTCCTTTGCTTTTCTTTTTCTCGCGTGCCTCTGTAGGTATACCGACCTGTCCGGGATTGTCCAGACAGTGAATTTTATATCTTGACTTGAGGGTGGCTGGCTGTCTCTCTTGCAGGGGGACTTTCAGGAATCAGAATTTAAATAAAGTATGTTCTGGAAGCAACCCTGCCTCCAGCTCCTGCTTGGTTTCTAATTTTAATAATAGGCGTGTTTGGGATCGCAGAATTGGAAGGAAATGTAGGACTTTCTGGAATGCTGGGGCCAGTAGTTGCATGTAGGACAAAAATTAGCAAATTAGAACAAACAAGTTTATGTTTTTATTCAGGAACCTGTGTTAGACGTCTCAGAATCTTCTGATTGAGGGATTGGTACTTTTTGTTTGGTCCGTGCGAGATTTTACGAGGCTTCCCCAAAGAGAAGCAGTTACTCACTTTTGCCTCCAGGGTGCTTTTAAAAATGAGCTACTGGAACATTTTTCATATCTTTGGTTGATGAAAATGCTCAACTCTAAACTTAATGGCTGTACCACGCTGTTGTTATTCCTTCGACGAGTCGCTGAGTGCCTGCTCTGAGCACACAGCCCTGTGCTGTGGGTTGTGGGGAAGGTGGGAATGGCTGGAGAGAGGGTTATTACAGACTCTGCCAGAAAGATTTCTATCTAGCTAGCGAGAGAGCGTCACAAAAAGCAGTCTCTGAAACAACAAAGCTTTTCGAGGATTTTTTTGTAAGATGGCATATCATTTTCGGGCCCGATAGTTATGACTGTGACCTGGGAAGTGGGAGCTGGCAGTTGCTGGGGCCGGCCTCACAGATCGGGGCCTGGCATGGGCCCAAGAGGAGAGGGGAAGGCACCTCAGGTGGGCTGGTGTGTGGATGGTCTGTGTCTGTGGTGGCCGGGGAAGGGAGAGAAGGTCGGAGGGTGGATTTGGTCAGAAGGCTGCTGCCCTTCATCACAGCCCGCCTCTGGCCATGGGGGCCATCAAGCGGGGAGTTTTGAGCCAGGAAAGAACCTTCCTGAAAGGGTGTTTTGAGACAGTTGCTGATGAGGGACCGTGTCCCAGCGCCCTTGCAGCCAGAATGTGAAGGGAGAACCCAGAGAGAGCGAGCTGGAAGATGGGGTTCTTTTGCTATTCACTTTTCTAAGGGGCTTGGCTACCTTCTATCTCTGTCCAGTTTCTTATCTGTAAAACGGGGTGTTGGATTAGATTCTAAGATTCCTTCTACCTTGGGCTTCTTGCGTAGAAAGAGTACTCTCATGTTGTTAGTGAAGGCTGTGCTTGGACCAGGAGCTTTCTCTTACTGAATTCCTGGAATCTCTTTAAGAGGTGGGAGGTGTTCCCATTTTGCAGATAAGAAAACCGAGGCTCCCAATGATAACATCTCACAGGCAGTAAATGGTAGAACGGAGGCGCCGGGGCCCTGCTGTGGAGACTTCTCCAAGAGGGTCAAAGTCAGGGATTGTCAGCCGGGACGGGAGGCCTGCTCTGATCAGGACCCTCCCCCGTGGGACCCCACCCTTGTGGGGTACCCTGTTCTCTTCCCCTTCAGTGTGGAGACCTCTTTTCTCTTCTTTCATCTCCCCAGGTGCTCCTGGCTCTTCACCAGGTGGCATCCCTCTGACTGTGCTACCTGAAGCGTGATCACTCTGGGGTGGTCATTGTCCCTCTGGCTCGTCTGTCCCCACTCCAAACCTCCCTACGGCAGCCAAGGGCAGTCTGGAAAACAGACCTGTCTCTTATTGCTCACTCCCTCCAAGGTGCCCTTCGGCTCAAGTCTGAGGTCCCTGTGCCCTGTTTGTTCACCTTGTGACATGCTGTTCACCTTGGGCCCTTTCCCTCTGGCTCCACTCGAGCTTCCCTGCCTCCTTCCCCTTTGTTCCCTCCTTGAGGCCCCGTGTGTCTTGTGCGGGGAACAGTGGTGCCCTGGATCCCGCTGCCTACGTCCCAAGGAGATGTTACCTCCTTGGAGGGGACTTCGGTGGTCACTCCGTCCAAAGGAGCCATTCCGTCATCGTCTGGTTTGTTTTTAAAAAGAAACTTGTAATTTTAGAGCAGTTGTAGACTTCTAGATAAGTTGCGAAGATAGTGCAGTGTTCCCATATCACACCCCTGCACACACATACGTGCACATACACATGTGCGTGCGCTCACGCACACGTGCACACAGAGATTTCCTGTCGTGAACATCATACCTTAGTGTGGTTCATCTGTCACAATTAATGAATTGATATTGGTTATGTTATCACCAACTAAAGTCTGTGCTTTGTTCCGATTTCTTTAGTTTTTTCCACTGTGGTCTCTCTTCTGTTCAAGATCTCATCCAAGATACCACAGTATACGTAGTCGTCACATTTCCTTAGACTCGTCTTGGCTGTGACAGTTTCTCAGACTTTGTTTTTGTTGATTTTGATCGTTTTGAGGGCTACTCGTCAGGTGTTTTGTAGGGTGTCCCTCAACTGAGATTTATCTGATGTTTTCATCATGATTGCACTGCGGTGGACTGGGATAATGGATTTTGGGGAGGAAGACTGTAAAGTGCTGTTTCATCACATCGTATCCATGGCACCTATTACAACTGAAGATGTTGACCCTGGTCACCTGATCAGGCTGCATTTGTCACTTTTCTCCCTTTCTGCACTAGGCTCTTTGGAAGGAAGTCACGATGCCCAGACCACACTTAGGGAGTGGGGAGGTACGCTTCATTTCCTTAAGGCCAGAGCATCTACATAAATTATGTGGAATTCTTCTGTGTGGGAATTTGTTTCTTCTCTCTCCAGTCATTCTCTCATTTATATCAGCATGGATTCAATTATTTTCCAGTTTGGGTTATAGTCCAATACTAGTTGTTTACTTTATTGCTCAAATTGCTCTAGCCTTGGCCATTGGGAGCATTTCAGTTGGCTCCTCGTCCCTTTGACATTATACTGGGATTGATCGATTGAACACTTTCTTGCTTTCTGCCACTATGAGATGCTCTAGGCTCCTCTTGTATATTTTCTGTCACAACCCTAGAATTAGCCATCTCCCCAAGGAACTCTGGTTTCATTTATTGGAGAATAGCATTAGAAGCCAAGATCGGAGACCTCAGTTGCTTGTTGTTTACTGAGGTGTCTTTGCTTTTAGGTCCTCTTAGGTGACAGAGCAAAGAAATGGATATGTGTATACTCACCCATATGTATACACATATCTAGAAACATTAACGTCTGTATCTACATCAGATTAAATGAGTTCATGCACTTGTCTCCAATTCTGATCCGTCACCACATGGATCATTCCAGCTTTCTCCCCTAGTTTATCGGTAGTCTCCCACTCCCACAGTGAGAAAGCTGGCTCCCACCATCTGTCATTTATTTACTATATTCTGGTACATTTTAAATCTTAAGTGTATAGCTCAATGAACTTCTAACACATGTATACACTCACAGGACCACAACCCAGATCAAGATAATTGACACTCCAAAAGATTCCTCATAATCATTCCCGATTTTCTTCCTGGCCCTTGTCCATGACCTCGTACTTCTTATTTGTTTTATGATGGTCTCCTTGGCTAGAAGGAGGCTCCTTCTCTCCCCAGGCCTTAGACCACCGTGCTCAGCCCCTTCCTTCCATTTGAGAGGCAGGATGGCATGGAAGTTTAAATAAACCTGGCTTTTAGAGCCAGACTCCTTGGGTTCACGCTCTGGCTTGTGCCCTGCCTAGCAGGTTTGTGCTTTGTAGCTCATTTTTCTCTTATACACGAGGATGACAAAGATAGAGGATTATGGCGAAAATTAAATTTACGCACACATACGAAGTGCTCAGGGTGGCACCAGGGACATACATGGTGAGTGCTCAGAAATGTTAGCCACAATTAGAATTGGCCGTGAAGTGGGATGAGCTTATATTGATAAGCTGTCAGGTGGAAGCCCTACTTACCATGTGCTGGTCCTGCCCTCACTTATAACCTCTAGGAAAAGGGCATGGAGGTGGATGCAGAAGCCATGCCCAGACAGCAGAGAATTGTATAGGGCAGGCAGGCAGGCTTAGGATATGCTTCCTGTCCTGTTGGCCTCTGAGACATTTGAAGAAAGCTGGTCTGTAGCTCTTTAGACTGATTTTCCCAGGGCCTCTGGAGCGCCTGTTCTGGTGAGGAATGGGAAACCACGAGGCGAAGGGGTCACCCAGTTTCAAGAGAGACTTTTCTCCCTGGAGTCTGCTTTGTATGGCTTTCTTAGTGTGGGACCGAGCTCCCATCTTCCAGGGGCTACTGCCTCTGTGTCTGGGGAACCTTTCAGACAAAGCTCTTGGGTCAGGCAAGGAAATTGCAGACGCAAAGCCCTGGCGTCGGGAGACTGTTGCTGTTGTCCCAAGAACCGAAGCCAGCGTTGTCAAAAGGTGACGCTTGCAAAGGCTGATGGGATGAAGTCTCATCTCTTTTAGTCCTAATTATCTCGAAATCCACAGTGTGGTGATCTGGGCTCAGTGAACACATGTTTGTTCCTGTATTCTGGCTTTTCTTGTGGTTTGGGAAATTCAGTGCTTCAGTTCCTACATGCCACCATCCTCGTCAGGGTTCCTTAGTTGTGAGCAGTGGAAGGCAGCTCTCGTTAGTTGGAGAGAAAAGTGGTCGGTTGGCTCAGGGGGTCGATGGGAAGGCTGGAGGTCGCAAGCTGCTTTGAGGAGTGGAACTAGTCTAGTATACAGCCTCTTCAGGATCAACAGGACAAGTTCACCAGGGAGAGTTCCTCACAGTATCATGTGTCTGCTCTTTGGTCAGGGAAGGGCTGGTGTCTGGACACCGAAAGAACATGGGGTGACCCCTTGGGCATCTTGGGACACTGGCAACATTATTCCC